TATAATTTTAAATATATTGTATTTAGAGCACATTTTCAGTTTTTTTCATATTAGTTTTATATTATTTCATAGAACGTTGATTCTATTTTTTTAATTTCCTCTACTTAATGGGGTTGTATGTTATAATAGAAAAACAAATAGTATTTAGTACATGGTCTATATCTTCTGAAACAAACACAAAAAGAAATATCTTTAAATGCATAGATCATTATGTATAAATACAAACATATTTTGTAAGAAAATTACATGAATCTTTAACCGCACTGAAAAAGCAATATTTCCAACATGTGTTTTGAAAATAAATACTTCTCTTTGTAAGGAGTTCATATTTTCTGAAATATTGTTTTTAAATTACCAGTTCTTCGTGATTTCTTTGTTGCTAATATATTTTAAAGAATTAGACATTTCACAGTTCGAGGAAATATCAGTTTAACTTTTTTTCCGCATCTTTTTTTGTTTTAAAATTGGAATAATTTTGCTCTAAAACGTATTTGACAACTGCATTATTTCCTCCTTGATTAATAAGCAAGAATAATTACATCTATTCTAAACATATTTCTCTGTATACGCTTGGATAAAATTTCTCTCATCATATTTAATTAAAACTTCCGAAAATAAGACCAATGTTAGGTTGTTCATAATAAGTGACATTTATAACAGAAATAATTGACTTTTTTCTTCAATGCCTTTTGATTATGAAAGAAATACGTTATGTTTTTTTAGGAAAATAATTTTTTAACTTTATAGAGTGATATACATTAAAATATATAATACTTTAAACTAAAATTCAGAATTTTCTATTTCCTTCTCTTGATATCTTAGCTTATAAGTGAAAATTACGTCAAAATAAAATGCTTAAAGTCTTGAATTTTTTTCCTCAATTTTAATTAAAAGTTTAACTAAGTATTTCAGCCTTTTTCACTAAGCATTCCTTTCATAAGTAATTATATTTATAAGCGCATTTTTTAAATTGAAAATATTATAACATTTTTGTGAAATTAATTCTTTTGTTCAGACTGAACCTTTACCTTAAACTGACCACAAAAATATTTCAATGAAACTGAGTTTTACAAAAGTTCAGAAAAAAATAATTGAAATTCTTAGAATTTCTTTTTTTTTTCAAATAGAAGGAAAGTATCAATGTTAATGGTAATGTGTTATGAGGTTTGTTATGGTCTTAAATCATAGGTTTAACTAAACCTACGACACAAAAAAACTATGGTTTAATTAATACACAATAAATTAAAATCCAAGTACTAGTGATGTCATAGATATGCAAGTTGTATATATTTTCATATGTATTTAATATTAATTCGAAAATAATTCTCAATCTAAATAACATTACATACATTTATACTCTTTCATACACAGACACTGCTGCGACTGAATATGCTAAACTCATATCCCTAAAAGTAATAATTGGTAGAAATCTTAAATTTAAAAAAAAAAATCTCTGGATTTAAATTTAGATAAGCAGTTATCATACTAAAAGTCATGCGATTCAATTCTTCTATGAAACCACTTACAAATAATTATAATATTACATCTTGATTATCTTAACAACCATCTTAACTTTTTGGTATAATTTTAAAATTTACTTTCCATTTTATAACATTAAATGGTAGTGGTTGCTTAATGTAAATCCTTATTGAATTTCTATTTTACTTGAAAGTAAAAAAGTACGAGTATAAGAAATTATATTATCTTCTCTATAAGATTTCATTTATTTTTGTCATTCAATATCAAAGTAAGTTAATAAAATGCTTTTAAATATTCACCTCTGGTTCCTGATATATATTTTAAAGCTATATTATATGTTTAAAAAATATATTTTTATAAAAATTTTAGTTTTTAATTCAAAAATTACCATACACGTAGTTCAACTTAACAAATTTTCAACATTGTATCTTCAATATATTAAACATTAGAAATTAAAATTTTTCACATTTTCCAGTTACTTAATATATATATTCCGTATTCTCTCGAATCTAAGTCGCATCTTTTTCCCCGATGTCAATGCTACTGGAGATCGGGTGCGGCTTAGAATCGAAGACGGAAAAATTCTTTACATGAAAAAATTGAACATGATTTTCTGACGGTTAGAGCAAATTTACGTTCATGTATGGAAACAGTTTCGAATATACTCTGCATACATATATATAAATATACTCAGAGAGAGAAAATATAAAAAGTACATAAATATCAAAAGAAATGAAATATTTTTTGTTTGGTTGAACAAGAACAATATATACCAATAAAAGTAACAAGCTTATTCTGATAATATATTTTAAGAAGTTATATTTTAAATATATATTTAGATATAATATTAATTATACTTATTTCATACATCCACCACACAAAACAATTGTACAGAAAAAAATACTTTACTGTTCTTTTTGTGAATAACATGTATGTTAATGTAAAAAGAGATTCGATATTTCATCTGTCTACGTGGGGGATAATAATATTGTTTCCTTAATATCCTCGTATAAACACTAACAGTCAGTATGTGATTATATGAAATCTATAAAAAAACAATCAGTCATGTTATGAATAGATTTCTCAATATAACTTCCTATCAATTGCACTACTGAGGATCAGTGAGGGATTCTGTCCCATTGACATAGATCAGGTGATGGAACGGTTGCTTGGCGCAAAATACGATATCTCTCGACATAGCGAATCAACATTGACTTTAGAGATTAACTGCTCTGTTTGTGTATATCTTCGATTTTCTCGTGAACGATGTTCAAACACACAGTGACTGTGTCTTACATCGCGATCAGATAACATGATCTTGAAAGCTTGTAGATTAAGATAAATTGATGTCCTACAACAGAGGGCATACTAGTAAAATACTTTATTCATAAAAATATTCTATGTGTCTGTATTAAAAGATTCTTATATTTGTAATTATTTCACTTATACAGTGAACTATTTTAACATGAAAACACTTGACTATAACACGAAATAATATATCGATCCCGACAAACAACTATGTATTTTCATGCATTATTCCCCTTAACAGGAAGCGAAAATCATTGAATGTGAACAGATTTTCCTCTTGAAATGAACAAAATACGGAAAACAACAGACATGCATATTCATCATGGGAAGAATTCGTCTCACTAGATGATGATAATGTATGTACAGGCCCAATTAAAGCAGACGAAGACATTTTGGTGTTTGTTTAAAGCTCAAAAAATAATATTGATGCAGATTTAGAACGTGAAAATGGGACGAATAATGCAGCTCCTTATCCCAAATCTTACGACATGAGGAACATCATGAAAAATATGCGCAGTTATTTAGACGCACGTTCCAGTGGTGAAATGAGAAGCAAAATGGACGACATTGAGCAATGCGTTGACAATTTGATGCTAAAATGGTAATGCAAAGAAAAATTATTAGATTATTTTAAGAAACTCAATACATGTTGTTTTTCAAAATCTTGAAAACTTTACATTAAATTTTGTTGCGAATGTTTCTGTTTCATTGATTTTTATTAAATACATGCATTTATATGTTCTATGTAAATAAAATATTTAATAAAACTTAATTTTGTTAAATGCATAGCTTTTTGTTGCAATATCCTTTAACGCGAAAAATTATTTCTGTCCTCTCACTTTCATGTTAAGCGATTTTCACTATATGTTAAGAAAATGCAAGAAATCTGATTGAATCATGATGAAAAATAATCATGTTTAAAAACAGATTTAAAAAAGACGTATTCGTGATTAGACATTACAGATTCGAATCGTATTACTTTCCCATTACTCACATTCATCAAAATATATTTTTAAATTATTTTTGTAATCTACAATAGAGCTTACAACAGCTGTGTTTGATGATGTTTACAAAGAATAACATTATAAATGATTTTTAAAAAAAATCTGTTTAAATGGGCAAAAAGTTTAGAGAAAAATAATCTAAAAACAAATATTTGGTATTGGGAACATTACTTTATATTTAATTTTGTAATTATATTAATTTGGATACATTACATTGGATACAGTGGATTTTAATTTGGATACATTATATCTAATGCTTTACTTCACATTCACATGAAGATGCGAGGTCCGTATCCAATAGCTTATAGTGTTGCTTAATAAAGTACACGATGCTTTTGCAAAACAGTTATTAGAAATACATTTTTAAAACTGATTCCTCGTTGTTTATCCATATTTATGCAAATTAAATCGACTAGTTAAACGATTTCTTTTCTGAATTTGGTTGAAAAAAGGCATTAATTAAAAATGTTGGGCATTTCTTTTGATAAACTTTGCCTGTTTTTACTAAATGGCTGGTTGATTTCATCCGCTTACAATATTGCATTTTATATCAAAAGTTGTGAAGCTACGAATGAATGCAAGAACTTTCAAATATTTAAGAGAATCTCGTTTTTATTGTTTCTTTACAAATATATTTTGATGATGTAATTTATAAACTAAACACAAGAATTCTCGTTCAAGAATTCTGAATTTTCTAAAATGAAAAAAAAATAAATAAATAAGGGAATGAACAGAATCAGATGTTTCTGTACGGAAATTATTGAGAAAATATTTTTTAACTATCCACGTATGCTTTTTTATGTGATTTATCTCTAAAGCCATCAACATTTATACATCAGTGAAGCACATGGCTCTTTGCTTTCCCAGACCGAAACGTAATTGCAAATTGTCAACAGTGTATCAAGCGAGTGTTGATTAACTCTTTTTTTCATTTCCTCTACTGTTAGTTCCTCTCTCTCTCTCTCTCTCTCTCTATATATATATATATATATATATATATCTTGTTCAAATTTTCATTCATTAATAAAATACTTTATATTCATCCACTCAAGTTCAAAAAAATTCACCTTTTTAAACTTGTATTGGATGACTCTTGATGTTAATACAGTTTTTCCAAATATAAATTCATTTGTTCTTTAATTAATGAACAAATATTTACAAACAAAAATTATAGTTCATCATATATAAAAAGGAAAATTGTTCGTTGAGGCCCTGTAACGCAAAAGATAGCGCTTTGGATTTCTAATCCAAAGATCGTGGGTTCAATTACCACCTGGAATGGCCTAATTTCTGACAATGTAAATTCTTTTTACTATACTATTTTATTGGAATAATTAAATTCAATTATTGAATAAGTGGTAACAAACAAGAGCAATAGTCCAACACCGTATATAGAAAGGAAAATGAAAACCTGCAAGGAAATTCGTTTTCTATTTTTTCACTTAATATTGTGATTCTGTCATATGTATATACATATTTATATTAATTGTAATTACTTAATAAAAAGTAACTAAAAAAAGTGTTGCTTTGTTGACCTAAGTAGGAATTGACTTAATTTTTTTTTATATTACGTGTTAGATAATATGACAAAATCATGCTTTAAAAAATAAAATGGGTTTCATGAGTTATTCTAATTTTTAAATACAATACAAGCGAGTGCCTAAGTAATTAGGTTTATATATGCTTGTTTAAAAAGCATATAAAGTTAAGTAATCAAGTATGAATAATTACGGATATTAAAAAAAATATTGCAAATTATAGTATTTTCAAATTCTAACGGTGCTGCATAGATACGCTGATATACTTCTGTAGTGAAAGCAATTATTTAATTTAAAAAACAGGTATTTTCCTGCATTTAATTTCATATACCTTTGTTAAAGACTTATTTTAATTAAAAATTTGCATTCCATAATAAATGCATCTCTACACATTATGCCGATTTTTACTTATCTTTTTCTTATAATTTAGTATTTGTGTATAATGTACTCGAACACATTAAATTGAATTTAATTAATATAAATATCATGCTATTAGTATTTCTTTACTCACAAACTTTTTTTAATAGTAACCTTTGTTACTGAAGTAGTTAAATATTCATATTCATTATTCCTAAAGTGAGTACAAATCTTTTAATTGTGTCCATATTTATAAAACAACTTAAGTATTTAACAACTTGGTTACATGCTAATGAAACCAAAATTATATTACCGTGGAAAATTCAAATAATTTAAGTTAGGAAAATAATTCTACTTGTTTCTCTTTTTAAAAATTTCTTTAACTTTTTTTCAAACAAGGAAATAATTAAATCTTTTTAAATGGATTAATGGTTTAAATATACATTTTATGTTTACTTTAAATTTTCAATTGTATGTATATAAACACGACCAGCTCTATGAAAAATGTAAAATTAAATATATTTACGCTATTAAAGGCATTATCAAAAAATTTAGTTATGTACATTATTTAAAACTAATTTTTATTAAAAATTTATACTAACATTTTAATAATTTTTTTACAGTAACAGTAATATATTTACTGGAACAAAAAAAGATATTTTATTTTTCTGAAATTCTTTTTGAAGTAATCTTTGTTTAACACACAACATACATACTTTTTATATACTTATATTAAAATAAATTTTAAATGAAATTAAATGAACAACTTTAATTAATCCCTAAAACAAATTATTTATCATTACGACCCACTATTCATTTGGAATGTGCTTGACATTTATAATTTTTCTAGATTATCTAAGTATTTTTTACTGCTTAAAATAATATTGTTTTCTTTTCAGCTTCAAGATACTTATCTTATTTTAGAATAAATTTTTGTTTTCAAATGGGCTAAGAATTTCAAAATATTTATCCACACATATATTAAAATGAATTTGCTGTAAGTTGTTGTATTTACATTATAGATGCGTTAGAAAAGTTTCAAGAAGTATAAAAAATTTGCAACATATAGTAAAATGGCGATGAGTTGCTGTCAATACCGCATTACTGATGTGAAGGCTGCCTAAAGGCCTTTTCACACGTACACATTTGGTGTAATTTTTGGTCCAATTCGTGCAATTTTTACTCCGTTGTCATAGCAATGGCTTTCGAACAACTTTTTTGCCAGTGAGCTGAGAAAATTGCTTGAAATTCCAGCCAATGGGGTTCTTCGGCGCCCTACGTCATAAAGAAGATGGCGGTAATGGTCGTAGCCTCGCATCAAACGCATCAGATATGACGTATAATATTTTAATGTACAATATTTTAACGGCGTATAATATTTTAAATAGAATGATGCTCCATCTCTGTTTACTCCCATAAACAAAAAAGCGCGAGCGAAATAAAAGAAATAATATTGTATGGTCCTTTACGAAGCAGAAAAATCAGCGAGTAATATTTCAATGTGGAGAAAGAGTGTGGCTGACGTGAAAGCATGTCGTTTTGTTTACGTTAACCCTTCCCCCCTCAGATTCGGCGAAATGTTGGGCCAAAAAATTGCACAGAAAATTTACGTGTGATACCGCCTTAAGATGCATTGTAATGCTCGCTATCAAGAGCCTTGAGAAATCACTGCAGGTGTGAGAGCGTATACGCCAATTTGGAAACCAGTCAGAGAGAAAGTCTGGCAATCTCTTGAAGTGTGGAGGAGTGCCCATTTTTATGTATCTTTAAATGTGGAATATGTCACATCTTTAAGAGAGGTACTTGACACTGAAACATTTCTGTTTCGACAATGCCGGGATTCTATTCTGCCTTTGGTCCTTGTCACCACTGGTGCGGTGGACTTTGAAGCCAGTGATTAACACCAGTCATTATCTGTCGTCTGGATAATAAGTCAAAGGTTGACTTGCCCTAGAATTTAAGCATCGGTATTGTTCTGTTTTGGATACTTTTTCACGCGAAACTAAGGCATTGTTGGGACGTTATATTTCCCTAACAGAAAAATGGTCCTTTGGTGGAGACCACCACAATGATATTAAAGCTCAACCCTGACATTGGGTAAAAATACATATATTTGTCAACTTACTTCTATTTCAGTTATTTTCCTTTTTATTATTGTGTCATTGATATTTTGCATGAGAATTGATAAAAAAAATTTGATTTGGACGTTTATTAGAATACAATTTTTACCATTTACTTGTAACATTTTAAATTAAAAATAACAAAATTTTAATTAAATAATAAAATAATTCACATAATTTAAAGAAAAAAAATTGGGTAATTACAAATGTTAGGACTAATGCTGCTTTCAATTTAGAAACGTAAAAAGAACAATCCTTTAAATAATTTTACATAAAAAACATGAGATATATGATGTCTATATATTCAAACAATATATAATGATAATGATATATATTTTATGTGTATATATTCCATTTATATATAATGATTCAAAAATGTAAAAATGCTAGTGAAATTTTATATTTAATTTTAAAAATTTCATTACAGCAGAGTAGGGAAATAAATGGTATCGCTAGTTGCTAAAAATAACTGTCCCGATTGGTAAATTAATAATTTATTCACAATTTCATTATAATATTTCAGAAAGTACTTTTTTCCCATTAAATACGCATTTTAGTTACAAAAAGAGATATACGTTCACTGGTGTAAGAAATTAAGAGAATTTGCATATTTTATTGAATTGCATGAAATGAAATTGACTGAATGAAAAACCACTGCTTCTAGATAAAAATGCAAGTCTTGTATGGCAAATACTTCTTAATCGTATATGTGTGTGTAGGTGGAGCCAGCAGAAAAACATGCTTTATAAGCGCTTGCAAGTAAAGACGTATTTCGTTCACCAGCACACCTCACCGAATTTCTTGATGTTATTTTGAAGCAGTCGGTTCAATTCAAATTGTAACAGTAAAAATGAGTAACCACCAAAGCTTAGATTATGGGATGAAATTGCTAATTATTGGGAGGCTAGAAGCAATCCAATGTCAAGTCCAGATCTGTAGAGAGTTTAATTTAACGCCCAGCGTCGTGTGTAACTTATGAAAACAGTTCCAGAATACTCGATCCATCGAGAGAAAGCCTGGAAAAGGTCGTCCAAGAGCCACGACGGCCAGAGAAGATCGCCATTTGTCGATTAGCTTCTCAGTTCTCTCGTTACTTGTATGCAGCCACAGGAACCCGTGTATCAAGGGGGACTGTTTCAAAAAAGACTTCATGTGAGAGGGTTGTTTGTCAGAAGACCTACTGTTTGCGTCCCGCTCACGTCTATGAACAGAAGAGTCCGTTTAGCAAGGTACATACAACATAAAAACTGCAGTATGGATCGATGGGCGAGTGTTCTGCTCACCGATGAGTCCCGCTTTAGCCTAAACACCGATTCTCGCCGTATGTTCATATGGAGAGAACCAAGGACCCACTACGTACCCTCCAATGTCCGAGAAATTGGCAATTATGGTAGAGAAGGTTTAATGGTCTGGGCAGGCATCATGTTGAATGGTCGTACATCTCGCCATGTCTTTGTGACTGGTGCGAGGAATAGGGATGAGATCTTGGAACCCTTTGTTCACCTTTTTAGGGGTGCATGTGGCCCTGAGGTAATTTTAATGGACGAAAACGCGAGGCCACGTAGATCTCTTCTGATTAACGAATTTCTAGAGAGTGAGGATATTTGCCGTATGGATTGGCCTATAGAACATGTCTAGGACGCTCTGGGGAGGGCAATTGCAACTATCTACCCCTCTCCGAGAACCATCCATTAAATGAAAACAGCGTTGCTGAACGAGTGGGACCAATTGCCACAAGAACTGATAAACTGCCTGATTTCAAGAACGACATCACGCTGCGAGACCTGTATAGCTGTAAGAGGGGGCATACCTCCTATTAACCCATTTATTTTGTTTATTTCGCAATCGCTGTTTCATACCTTCCAACTCCAACGAGTGTTACGCATGATCATATGTGTGTATTGAAATTGCTGAGTGGTTATTTGTTCTGTATTGTATCAATGTATGTACATATTACATTTCATTAAAATCTGTCCAGTAGTTCTAGATATTATCGACCCGGTCTGAAAATTCTCTCAATTTCTTACACCATTATACTTGAAGAATCTCGATTTTACAATCATCTCTTGTAAACAATAGACTGATAATTCCAAACTAAGAGAAACAACTTAAATAATCAGTACAACAAGAGATATCTTTAAAATGAAATTTTATAAAAATATTCTTGAATAGAGAAATTTACTTAGAAACAAATTTAAATAAGTAAATATCACAACTCGAAATAAAAAAAAGTTCTATAGTTTTCTTTAAAAATGGCTTCATAGCA